CAACCTAAGTAAAAGTCTTTGCAGTAAAGTCATAGGAGTTTAAAACAGAAATGGGGAAAATGAGAAAGTAGAAAAACATAGTGACAGATAATTCCTGAATTGCCCTTTTATTTCATCATTTTAGCATAATCTCCATGTAGTTATATATTATTAGTAACAATGACTGAAATTATCCTTTAAACATCCCTTCTCACATTAAATTCTGGAACTTTCTAGCAATCTTCTCATACATACTGATGCTGTGATTTAGAAATAGAAAGATTTTAAAACAGATGGTTACCTGATGATTTACCTCTGAAAAAACAGGGAAATATCTGCATGAGAAATTTAATGACTGCATTCTTTCTACAGATTTATTTCATACAAATCATGTTTAGTTATTCTTTTTTAGGATTTGGTTTCTGTATGTATAGTCATATAAAGTAACAAGAGCTCATTTTGTAAAGGTATCACAGAATTTTCTCACTTTGTTTAAGGTAGTGCCAGAAAGAATGCATCTTATTCCATTTTACAAAACCAACATTCTAAATGCTTTTATTTAATTGCAGAGTTTTATTATGTTTCCTATTATTTCAAAGCTAGTGAAATCAATAATGGGAGACTCATGTGGGTTTTACTTTCTAGAAATGAAATTATGAGATTTATGGCAATCTTGACCTTTCAGGATGGATAATAAATACCCAAAGTATCACTTGGAAAACAGGAACATTTTTGATAATTTAGGAGTGGGTTTCTTGATTAAAAGATCACCAAACACATATATAGCTTTCTTCTGTAATCAAAAATTCATCTGGTTAAGAAGTATTTTAAAGGAGAGTTATTTAATGAATCTTCTGCTAGCTTCTTGGAGGTTCAGAGTTTCAATGAGGATTGAGAAAATATTCAAGTTTGAGAAAATAAATAATTTTCTATATCTTGGCCATGGAAAGAAAACAAGGATAACTGCTGTTCTCCAAGCTGTGGCTCTCAACATGACAAAAATTCCTTGCAGTAACTCACGAGTTTCTAGATGTTGGTGACCAAACTTCTCCTGCCAACTACTTGCACCCACTATTCCAGAAGACAGCTTACATTTCTCTGCTTTGTACTGTATGTGATTCTCTTTAGCTACAATACTTCCTCATATTTTCATTACTTTCCTCCATTTCTACATGTTGATATTCCTCATGATTAAGATAAAAGATTATATTATATTTTATTAGGTTAGTGAACTTACTAGCTAAGTATAACACATAATAAGTGCTGCTTCATATGGTACCAATTTCAAACTTATTTTGAGTTAAATTGTAAATGTCTACAAGAAAAGAATCATATTTTATGCCTCCTACACTACTTAGCATGGTGCCTAACACAGAGTTGTTACTGCTTATTCATTATCATCATATTTCAGATATTCCAGGTAAGAGTAAAACTGCAATTTGGAACAATTTTCCTTTTCTGCCCAAGACAAAATACAAAAAATGAAAAATGAGTCAGGTGTTCTTTTTTGAGAACCTAGTAATTCCCAATTTAGAATTCACCCAGGTACAACTAGGAACAGTAATGTATACATAGAAACTGGAAGTTTCTTCTACAAAAAATACTTAGAACTTGTGGCAAAAATATTAATTTTCTAAGAAATTTCTGTCATTTTAAAGAGTTGTTTGAGGTTCTTTATCTAATTACAGCAAAAGATTTCTTATGCAGAATAATTGGGATTAAGAATTGGTCCATTCATTAATAAAGTTATTTAAAGCATAAAAGCATTAAAAAGTTATATAGATACTGTAAACTGCCTCTCAGAAATAATTATTTACCAGTCATTTAAAAATAAACTTACCTCTTTGACTATGGGCTTGATATTTAGAGTTTATTGTTCTCTTGCTAGAATAAATCCCAAAAATGCAGTATCTACTTCGTTATATCCAGAAGAAATATTTTGTTCACAAAGTTGGTTATTTAAATAAAAGTCACTAAAGATATTTTTTGAAGTAATCTGAATGTAGAACTTGTAGATATCATAAACTTATTGATTACCCATGTATGTTGAAGATGCTTCACTTTCCCCTAAGTCAACATCATATTTTAATGTCTTACAGTATTTCCAAAAGACTCCAGTGGATTTTTATAAAAATAAGCATACTTGTTTAAATCGTATAAATTATACAATATGTTAATGATTGGCATAATTTAAGGGTAAATACAACTGATTTATAGCAAGTAGCATCTAAACTGATTGGACCAGAAATACTTGAGGCATACTAGTGAGTATTGCAGCCCACTAGCTGCAAGTGTTAATGCTCAACAAAGCTTGAGCACCTCCTAATATGTTTTACACAAAGAGTAGAGACTGCCTGTAAATCTGGTGAAGTTGTCAAATAGAAAGTAATTAGGTGATCATTATATCCTTATTTGGTATTAATAATAATTTTTTACATCATTCACTGAAAACTTGAGGATAATCATTTCATTCATGATTACATTTAACCCCCTGTATTAACTGAATGACAGTGGGGTTAAAGATACTTGCAGGGAGTAGTAAATAAGAATTGGGTGCAAAAACAATTCTCTTTGCTGGATGTATCGCATTAATTCAAAGAGAGCTAACAAAGGTTTATATAGAGAGGAAAAGTAGCATATTATCTCTGGTCTATTTCAGGTAGGTATATTTGTTTCACTTCAGGACCTACAGTGATTTTTATAAAGAATTCATATGACTAAAATTATTGGAATGATAAGAAAAAGGAGGAATAAAAATGTACTCATTTTGCTTTATGGAGATTGACTATGTGTCCTCTCATAATGTTACCAGGTTCTGGGGTCTCTTTCCAGAGGTAGTTTTCTAGGTTCTTCTTGTCTTGAAGAAAGAATTGGACAAAACAAGAGCAAAAGGTAAAAAGATTTTATACTTACCCAAAGTAGAAGAAATATGTTCTACAAAGTGAGTTTGGGCCCAGTAAAAATAGGAAAAGGAGTACACTCTACAGAATGGGGGCAGATGAATGTGAAGGAGAGAACACTCCAATCACGAGCTCAGTGGTGCCTGCCTTTTTTAATCTCCCACTCCTCAGGCTGACAGGTCTAGGCTGTCTTATCAACAATTTCCTCAGGTTCTGGGGAGGATTGGAGACAGCACTCTGATTGGCTCCATGTGCAGGGCTTTGGGAACAATGTTATACATGTGTCTAAGAACTTTGTAATTAATAGATCACACCCAGTTCTCCAGCAAGTTTGCCATGTCCTAATCTTCTGTCTCATTAGAGCTGGTGCATGCCTGTAATGCTGGTGCTGGAGATCACCACAAGTTGAAGACCAGTCTAGGCTACATAGTGACTTCAAGACCAGCCTGAAATACATGTCAAGACCCCATCTTAGAAGAGAACAGTAACAAATACATACATACATACATGCACACATACATACCATGGTTTGCAGTCAGTGCAATGGGAGCAGGTCTACTGTATGAGGAGGCAATACCAGTTACCTGATTTCACCCAGAAGTATAGCCTGGATTGAATCTGGTTTGGGGCATATTTTAGTGATCAAAGCAAAAATTAGTACCGTTAGAAATTTGTACTGCTATATTCATAGTTTGCCATAGTCAATCGATGCTCATGCAGTAATATGAAAAGGAGCTTCCTGACTAATGAGCAGTCCTCTACAATAAAACCCAAGTAAGACATTCTACATATTCTAGGTGATTAGGGCATGGAAAACTGGCTGGGGAAGTGGGGGTGATCTGTTAATTACAAACTCCCAGGACACATTTGCAGAATACTTCCCAACCCTGGCAAATGGAGCCAATCAGAGAGTGCTATCTCCAGTTCTTTTCCCCAAGACTCCAGCAAGCTGTCAGTAGGATGGCCTAGACCTGTCAGCCTTAGGAGTTGGAGCTACAAAGACAGTTGCCATTGAGCTTGAGGCTACTGTGTTCTCTGTTTCACAGTAGTTTGCTCTCACGCTATAGCTTGTACTTCTTTTCCTACTTTCATTCGGCACCAAATCATCTGTAAAACGTGTTTCTTTTCCTGTTTTTAATAAATGTAAAATCTTGCTACCTTTTGCACTTGTTTTGTCCAATTCTTTGTTCAAGATAAGAACAACATGGAAAACTACTCTTGAAAGAACACCCCCAAGAACCCTAGAACCCGGTGACGGTAGTATCATGAAACACTAATGATGGTTTAGAGTAAATCAGTTTTGTGACAAAATATTGCAGTGGGGATGGGAGAGTAAAATCAGCTGAGAATTTTCTAGAAATTAAATTGAAGAATGGGTGATTGGAGTATTCCTGTGGTAAGGTCTGGGTTTTATCATACCATGGTGTTCAGAGATGTAATATTTCATAGATATCATTTAATCCAGTAGTTCTCAACCTGGCTTATTGAGTCATATATACAAATTACAATTACAAATTTTTAAAAGACCATATTTTATAGGTTATCCCAAATCTTTTACCTTATTTCAATGACTTCATTCAGCTAACACTGTATTTAAATCTCTCTCTTGTTTTTATATTTAGTATTGTTTTTGATAATGGGATAAGATGCTTATGAAGGGATATCACTTGAAATGATGTCCAGAAAACACATTCAAAAGCTTTCTATGATAAATACAACTAGTGTAAGGAAGATTTTCACCTAATATAGAATTACAAACCTGGCTATTTACTTTTGAAATAATTTTTAAGCCCTGAAACCCTATTGATGTGAGCAATGTTTGCCTGCAGATCTTTCTAAATTCCTGAGAATTTTCCCTGAAATATTAAAACATGCTTCAAAGTATGACATTACATATGAATCTCTTCACCAATTTGACTATTATACAGGGTATTTGGTTTGCTACTGGAAAGTAACTAAAATGAAATTATATACACGAAAATAGTGTTCAGGTTTTGCTGTAAAATTCTACAAGAGTGAGTTCTGGTGGATTTAAATTTTACCTAGAAAAATAAAATATTTTAAAGTTTTACTTTCTGAGTGTTAGGTTTGCCTTTACATTTTGATCTTCTGTGTTTCCAGGGTTTTGAAGGTGTTTCTTTCCCGAACAGCACAACGAATTCCATACATGACTGGTGGCCGGGTCATGAGGATGCTAGCAGTCATACTCCTGGTAGTGTTTTGGTTTCTCATTGGCTGGACTTCATCTGTGTGCCAGAATTTGGAGAGGGAAATTTCACTTATTGGCCAGGGGCAAACATCTGATCACCTCATCTTTAATATGTGCCTCATTGACCGCTGGGATTACATGGCAGCAGTTGGTATGTAGTCAGTCACTTGTTTTATGTGATTGTCTTGTCCTGTTTCAGTATTTCAGTATTAAAACTGGGACTTTTAAATGGATTAGCATAACCAGGCATGGTGACACATGCCTACAATCCCAGCACTTGGGAGACTGAGACAGGGGGATCACTATGAGTTCAAAGCCAGTCTGGGCTACAAAGTGAGTTCAAGGCCAGCTTGAACTACATAGTAAAAACTTGCCTCAAAAAAACAAAACAAAACAAAACAAAGATTAGCAAATCCTTTCACAAAGCCTAAAGAAATTTAACATAATATGACTCTGGAAAAACAATTATGACCATATTGGCATGTGGAAGGATGCCATAATGGCATCTGAAAGATTCCATTCCTTTTTTTTTTTTTTTTTTTTTTTTTTTTTGTTTGTTTGTTTGTTTTGTTTTGTTTTTCTCTGGTACCGGGAACCGAACTCAAGACCTTGCACTTGCCAAGCAGGTGCTTTTGCCGCTGAGCTAAATCCCCAGCCCCGATTCCATTCCTTTTCATAGGTATGTAGCTTTGTTGAAAAATTGTAAAGTAAAATAAAGTAATGCTTTGAACAATGGCTACTTCTGTACACAAATTTCTTGTTTCTATCTTGTCAATTTGTCTCCATTTGATTAGCAGGAGTTACTACCTTGATTTATATGCTTAGTTGGGAAGCAAAAAAAACTGTCAGTATTTTTCCATATTTTTGGTCCCATTATATCAGATTCTGTGTACAGTGCATTCTTTGTGAAGATATTGCCTCTAACAAATCTCTGATTAATGTTTCTTTCGTAGACTTATCACTGAAGAAATTTATCAGTAATTGTCTGGAGGCCCAGTAAAGAGTAATCCCTACTACTTAGAGGTAGTAGAAACTTGAGAACATAGAAGAATACCATGACGTGGACTAAAAACATAGATTACTTTTCTTATACCCACTCTTTGAAAAATAAAGAAAGGAAACCCGTAGGAATTTTTTCTATTACTAACAGGCTTTCTTTTTCTTTTTTAATTTCTTTTCTTTTTGTTTGTTTGTTTTGAGACAAGGTCTCACTATGTAGTTCAGGCTGGCCTTGAACTCACTGTGTAGCCCAGCTGGCCTTGAACTCACGGCAGTCCTCCTACTTCAGCCTCCCAAGTGCAGGGATTACAGCGGTGTACCACCATTCCCAGCTTCTAACAATAGGCTATTTTAAACTAAATCTGTAAAGACACAAAAGCAAAGGATGAAAGAGCCCTTTATTATTTCCTTGTTCTTCCTCAGAAAACCACAGGACAAACTTTAATTTTGTGGGACTGGTATAAAAAATAAAAAGATGGTTTAATTCCCATTTTATGTCCCCTCCATATTTGGCAATTATTGGTTGAATATGCATGTCTTGTCTTTTCCTAGAAGCTGATAAAATGTATATTTATTCTTTAATAATTCCAAATACAGAATATTTTTCTGGGTAAGATATTTTAGGACTCTTATAGGCATAACATATATAATAATGAGGTAAGATGGGTATGTAAAAGGAATAGTTTCAATGAGAGTGTATAAAGTTTATTTTTGAAAACAGTTCTGATATTGACTTTGGTCTGGATATGAAAATTAAACACTTGCATACATGTAAAATTTCTACACAGTAGAAATCACTAATACTTTATTTTGTGCTTTTCAGTGAATGTTTAGCTAGGAAATGTCATTTCCTTTTATAACTATCAAGGAAAGCCCACCAGATTTCCTTTCTGTGTTACAAAGAAAATACTAAAAATATTTGATAACACAAACAAGCAAATAATATGGCCTGTTCACCTAGCATTGTTTTGCAATCCTTTACACATTGTCTTTATGATGTATTCAAAATCTTTTTAAAATTTATTTGGATCTTGAAGTGTTCATATATTTCTATATAATATAATTGACAATAACCTGAAATTCATCCTACATAAAGTATATTAGAATCTTAAGAATTATATACAATAAAGAGGACCTACTAAGTACCTATAATTTCTCTAGTGCTGCATTGAATACTTTTGGGGAGATATAAAATGTATAAAGGTCTAATCCTCTCAGTAGAGAGTCTACTATTGATTAATATAGATAAATGGTAGTTGTTAGAAATTGTTAAAAAGCAAAATTGGGTGGCAAGGACTCTTGGTGCAATAATAGATCACTAAAGGAGGAGAAGAGTTTGAACCACAACTCAGCAATCTTTATAGAGAAGTTCTTTGAGTCATGGGTAATATTTAGGTTGTTAAAGAGGTGTAGAGAACATTCCATTTGATAGGAATAGTGACAGATGGAGGTGGGTGGGAATTGTGTGAAACATGAAGGAAATATCTAAGTTTAAAAGAGTTGGAATGCATTATGTTGGAATACACTATAAATGTTTCAGAGTGGTTAAGTTTATTGAAAACATTTATGAGGAGTTTAGAGAACTGGCAGATTAATACAAGGAATCAGTAAATTCAATCTTGATTGCTTCAGAATGTGTTATTTAAAAAGGAAAATATAGCAAATCAAGGGTTTGTGAGATGGCATTATTAGATTGGAGAACATTTTTAAGTAGTGGTTCTCAAAGTGCAGTCCTAGCCACAGCGTCACCAAGGAACTTACTAGAAATGCAAAGGTTTGAGCCACATTTCAGACTTTCTCAATCAAATTCTCAGGACCTGAGATCCAGTAATCATTACTTAGTAATCACTTCCAGTGAGTCTGTTACTGTGACACATAGAACCACTGGCTTTGAAGGTGTAATCCAATTAAATTACTGGAACACAATGACCACTTATCTCAGGTGTGTCATGGTCATACAATGCTCTGGCTGTTCCCTGGATCAGAGCCACTAGCATGTTCTTCACACTGCTTATTGCAAGTTTTATTTTTTCCTTATGCTTCCACACTATCCATGATTTTTTCTTAGTGGATTTTAGAGAGCCCTTTCAGGTCCTCATCACAGCCCAGGAAGTTTATATTTGTAATCCCATGGAAAAGTTACTGGATTTCTAGTGAGTTAATTCCAATCTACCACTTCCAGTGCAACCCATGGCGAGAATAAAGACACTAAGGCATATTTGTAGTTATGGGGAGCCAAGGGGTCCTAAGTCCAGCCACAATGAAGGCAGTCTGAAACAAAGGCCTCGACCTGAGGCCAAACCCAGTTTTATTAATTCATGAGGAAGGAAGTGGCTTGAGGATGAGTGACTGTGAGAATGGCAGGAAGTAGGTGAGTGCTGTGAGCTAGGCTAGGTAGGAGGTCCAAAATCATCTCTGTAATATTCAGAGAGAAGGATATGCAGAAAGAGTAATCTGCATAACACAACTGAGATAGTATCTAATGTTTTGGAGTCAGTGCTTCAGCTCTGATGTGTAATCTTTAAAGCCCCAGGAAGTCATAGCCTCTACTCTTGGTCTCAGTGGACAACATGGAGCATTGGCTCTTCACCTCCCTTTGTCCTGGCTCACACAAGGGAACAGTGGGGGGTCCGGGGAAAACACACTTACTGTCTTCAAAGTCTACCATCAGCACCACAGCTGGATCAGCTTGCATTGCTTATTGAAGGGATAAGGAAAAGTCCTAGCTTGCCAATTGAAGGGATAAGGAAAAGTCCTAGCCAACCTTGTACGTGTCAATACATGGGAATAGGGTTGGGTTCAGCCAAAATGGAGACAATTGCTCCTCCTCCAAGGAGAGTCACTCAGGTGGCCCTCCACAGTAGATGACATCTACTTGAAGAATAAGTAGGAGTTATCAGATAAATATTAAAATTCTTGCCTTCTAGCTATAAATCTTCCCATCTCCACAGTCATTCTTCTTTTCTTCCTGACATTATCCTAGCAGATGCCTCAACCAATGCCTTAGTGCCCCCATATCCCGTGACCTCTCTCACTTTATACAACCTTTCTGTCACATGTGACTCCCCTACTTCCAAAATCATTTATTGAAGAATTCACACAAATTTCTTAGATGATTTGTGTACCTACTCCCTCTATAAAAGCTCTTTAACATCATAGAATATTTTCAGTGTAGTAGCACACTGCATACTGGTGATTTAGTCAATGATCAGAATGGAGCATTCCCATAAGGTTATACTGGACCTGACAATTTCTCATCACTCTTTTTTTACACTACAATAGAACCCTACCTATAAACATAGGCTATAAATTTAAAACATGGGTTCATTTTATTTTTGCTTATTGCATAGTGCTGATCAAAATGGATCAGATAAATGATTTTTCTACTGCAAGTATTTCAGAAAGAAACAGGTAGAGGAAACAGTTTGGAAAAATCCTCAACTCCCCGCCATGAGCCTCAATTTCTTCATTGAAGAAATGGTTTAAATATAAAAAGGGCAAAAAAATAACTTTTAGAATGCTATTGTCATTTATGTCTATTTATAATTTTCAAAACTAATCTTGTACAAAAACGTGTGAAGTAAGCTTTAGTATAAAACCAATAGGATACAAATGTTACAGCTGTGGAAGGCAGATGGATCTTGGGCAATGTGAGAAGTGCTCAAAAGTACCAATACTCAGAAATGATTTTATTCAGCTGGAAGAAAAAGAATTTTAAAATGCAGAGGTTCCAAAATATTTCTAGATCAGATTAGAATTCCTATAAAGAAGTAAACTGCCATGACTTATTGAGAATTATCTATTTCTATGATAAAAATGATACCATAGGGATTATAATACTACTTATTATATGACCTAGCACTCTGAGTTTTTCTGAATACATTTAAATATATTCTTCAAAGATCACTAAAGGCCAAAGAACTTTTCCACCTGCTAATCCCCCTTTCCTCTCCCCACCTGATAGCTCCACACTCCTCGGCACCATTGCTGCAGCATTCATAACACATCCTTGTCCCTGAGCAAAGTATCTGTCAGCTGTAAGATTTTAAGAAATGCTTGCCGGAAAAATAAAGAATGAGTCCAGCTCCCCTCCTTTTTTGATGTTTTTATGTGGTACGAATTAGACTAGCATGAAGAGACTTGCTAAAGTTA